TTTTGTACATTTCTTTACCGTCGTTGCACGACTACGACGTGAAAATACCTAATTTCACGTTTTCTGGAGGACGTGAACACAAAACAACGACTTCCTTTTTCTTTTCCTGAACAATGATACAGTCTTTTAGAATTCAACTCCAGAAAAACAAACAAACAAAAAAACGCCGACATTTGATGAACTGAAGGAGATGGAATAAGCGCGATAAAGCTTTTTTTTTTTTTGACGTTTCCGTAGCCATCACCGTCGTTTTTGCTTAAGTTCCCTAATATATGGTGTAATGGGACATTTCCGACTTCCAAACCTTTCTTTTCTTTCATTTCGTATGTTAATGGCTTCCTCGCACTTAGGCTGGCGTTAAAACGGACGCTTGGGGCAAATTAGAAATGGCCTATTGATAAAAGGGCGAGGCAGGGTGGGCGGGGGAGGGGGTTTGGATTTTTTTTTTCTTCTTTGGTTTTTCATTTATGCATTTTTTTCTTAGTTAGTATGTATTTATCTCTTTTCCTTTCTTTTTCTTCCTCTCTTTTCTTTTTTTGTTTACTTTTTTTTCTTTTACGGTATAGCCTGAGTCGCAGGCAGTCATCGTAAAAAATAAAATAAATAAAAGAATAAGATAATAATAATACTAACAACAAGAAAAACAATAATAATAGTAATAGTAAAGATAATAATAATAATAATAATAATAATAATAATAATTAATGAAGATGTAAACCTGGAGCACCGTATTAAAACATGGCAAATAAAATGATGATGATGATGATGATGATGGTGACGGTGATAATTATATTGATAGCAATAATTATTAGTCCAGTCCAGATTGTGCTAAGCAACTTTTGAGCAATTTTCGGCTTTTCGCGCTTCTAGCAACCTCGAGCAACTTTCGCCTTTCTGAGCAATTTTCTGTGAGCGAAATATTATTGCTTTTCATATGAAGGCACTAAACTTCAAACTACAAAACTATCCATCCTACTGATATTTTACTTTCACGGTGTTTTAATGCAGCTGAAAACTAATAATCATACAAATTTTCGCTTCAAAGGGGTTCTTGGCTTTGTGAGAGTACGCTTGAATTCCTAAGCTTTTTTGTGATGCGGCATTTACATGATGGCCGAGAGAGCTGTCATGTCGGTTAGAAAAGTGACTTTTTTCTGAGAATTTTGCTATCTGAACAGTTTATGAATGAGAAAAAGTATTAATTTGACGTTTGTGATTTCCTCGAGAGGTAAATTCACGCTTTTGTAGCAAAACTCGGTGACAGATGTTCCTTGTTGGTTTCCGGCTGCCATGTTGGTGCCTAAACGGATGGGCACCCGGCCAGCATGGCTTCTCCATACAGGTCTCTATAAATTTGGGTTAACCATTTCTTCAGATATCTCGTCATGAAATATTGCTTTGACTTGAAACTTGGCGAGTATTTTTGCATATTTAGCCCCTTTTATTCCCCAGATCCTGGGCTTTATCCTGGAACGGTTGTGATTTTGAGTTTGATCTATTTTCAATGGCGTGACACTGAAAACCGGCAATAAGTTTAGGGCTCGCTCGTCCAAGCACAACGGTTTGCGAATTTCTGGAGTGTTTATCAACTTAAAGCTAAGTTTAAAAAAGAAAATTTTAAAGCCCATTTCGATATATTATAGAAAAAAGAAATAAGGACCCTCAAAATGTGCTTGGGCGGCCTGTGGTTACACCCACATTTGCGAAAGAGTCTTTAGCGGTAAGTTTCAAGTTATTTTTCTTGACCGTTGTTAACAATTATTGTGAATAATTTGTTTGTATTTAAAAAATATCAATGATGATGGTGGTGATGATGATGATGATGATGATGATAAGCTGAAAATAGAACGAGGACGATCGAAGAGTAACGAAGATCTGAGATACAAAACTGAAATTACGTAGCTCAGAAATCGGCTCAAATTTCAATCTATTGCTCGGAAATTACAAACAATCTACAACTGGTAACTAAGATTCCACCATTCCATGCAGCCCAATTTTCCACAAGTTACAAAAAAAATCTAACCAGGTGGCCTTGATCTGCTAGGCAGGTAGTTTAAGATTGACGGTTCTAATTATAAGTCGTCGGATACACTATTTCTTTGTAAACTCTTCACCCAAATGCTGTTCTCGTTTCTCACTGAAGTGTCTCTTCTTATCAGCAAGATATATGTGTAAACTGATGAACCGTTCCGTTTGTTTTGCCCGTGAACCAAAGAAACGACAGCAGGTTTCACATTATCAACCTGTCACCGACATTGGACAGGACTGATGTTCAACAGTCAGGATGCAGCTTAAGTTAAATTTTACAAAAGACAATATAATTACCCCATTAAGTTTACCATACAAGCATCTTACCTAGTGTATCAACTCTTTTTTCATTAAGAGGGATCTTTTCCAGGCTTTTTGGGAAGTGTACCACCCACTCCTTGACTTACAGATTAAAAAAAAAATAAAGGAATTAAGTTGAAGTTAAAAGGCGTAAAGAAAACACCCGAGGTCATTGGCTTCTGGAGGAAAGCCAAACAGGTGGTAAAACTATATTTTGTAATAAAACCGTATGATCCACCTTCCACTAGTTCATAAATTATTCCAAAATAAAACAGAGGGTCTTAATTGGCTGGAGGCTTTTTCGCACAGTTAACGTAAACTATACGTATACTTGTTTGTCTTGTTTTAGCTACCGATTTATTCCCTTCCCCCTGTGGGAAATTAAAATCTGTATTTTTTCATTTTTTGCGCAAGCTCGTTTGATACTGGGCTATCTTAGAAAATTCTGGGATGAAAAAAAAAATCAAATTAAATTTTATCCAAGATAACCACGAAACACATAACTTACTAGATTAGCAATCCTTTCAATTTTAAAAGATCGAAATGTGTCTACGCAATTCAATGGCTTACTTTTCCTAACGTTTAATTTCTTCATATTTCAACGGGAGCCAATATGGCTCATGATTTCGGCATATTTTACTCCAAATCCGTTAGTTTACGACTGCAGCCGCAAATCCCGATGGTTACTTTTGGCATCCCGCGGGGTATACTTACAATCTCGAATCTCGCCCCGATTTTGCTTTACAATCCCGAATGTCCCGAGCTTCAAATAAGGGAAATCCCGAACAACCTAGGGGGTCTCAACGCAGAGTATTTGGTAACAAAACAAAGAAGAAGGGAAGAGAAATTATGGGTCCGAATGAAATTACTCTAATTGGTTTTGGAGGCGGGGGAAGTGGACTCCTTAAAGATATTTTGTCCCATTATGCGGACGTTTCTTTCCAGTGGCGGGGGTGGGGGTACTATTAAAGCCTTTCATAGCGTAAGAGGCGTTTTCTTTGTTTGTGTCCTTGAGGAGTCGCCATAAATCACACGAATTGTAATGTACCGAAAGTGGACTGTTTAGTTGCTGATAAATAAAACTTTTTTTCAGCTACCATTTTGACCGGGTATCTTGCTTTTAATAACGCTTTAAAACCAACCTGACACGTGGCAAATGATATACCACAGCTGGGAAACAAACAGAAAGCAAAAACGAGGAAAAACAAACAAACAAGGAAAAATCCAAAAAATCGATGGAAAAATCTTTCCGTACGGTCGGGCGATGGAATATACATTAAGAGTTTTTTTTTCTGTCTTGACTCATGCAGTTTTCGTTCACGTCTGAAATGTTTATATCTGTCTTGCTACATTCAAATGCATTTATGAAGAAATTGATCGAGGCAGAAATGCCCCCTAGGCAAGCAAGTACTAAACAAAAAAATGACAGTTATCGTTATAAGTTTTCAGCTCCTCTTTTTCACGGCCTTCGCGGGAAAACTAGAAAATAATCACCCTGTGGACAGAATGACGCACAGCACCTTATATTAGTCTTTTTAAATTCTTACAGATGTCTGTTGCAGGAAGTGATATTATAATAATCAGGCCTTCAGAGTGCAAAGACGAGGAATCCAAAAGAGAGAAAATTAATTTGGAAAGTTACTAAGTTCACTCTTCCCTTTTACTTAACATCTTTGGGTGTTTAACAATTTTGAGCATGCCTGGATTCCTTCTGATTATATTTGGGATTACAGAAGTTGTCTGCTCAAAACTCCTCAAGCATTTGACTACTCTCATGTTTTTGCACCTCAAGTAAAAATAATATGCCGCGAATGGTTCTTAGTTTGCTATTTTATTTATTAATTTTTTTGGGAGTCTTCCCTGTCATGGTTATACATAAAAGAAAAAGCTATCACGCCGTGTTTTCCCACGTTCTTGTTTATGTTTCAAAAATTTTGGAAAATCAAACTGAGATCGGTTTTGTGCTATTAGCTTGTTTCGCCACGTCTTCAAGACTAAACCTAAGACAGTGGAAATCTTTTGGTGTAACCAAAGACAACAAAAGATGATACTGTGCATGTGTATAAAATTCGACATCTGCCCCTCCTTTAATAGTTCTTATGACATCCGCTGATAAGGAAATTGTAATTTGCGACTCTTTTGACGGGTACGTGCTTGACAATAGCAAAGCCTATGTAAATCTCGCAAGAAAGCTTATCAAGAAAATCAGTTGACAGATTTGAACAGCCAATACTTTTGCGTGTAGACAACGAGCGCCAGCAGAACTATTAAGGAAACACTTGGTTTTCTCCTTCTGCTAGGGACTTTCCACACGTAAATTGTTTAAAAGTCAACGACCGAAGCCTTGAAGGAGATTGACAAATGGTGTATGGCTGAAAAAATAATCTCTCTAACTTAGAAAGGAACATGACCCCCATTTGAACAGCAATACGTTTTTTTTAGGAAAAGCTTCATGCAATTAATTTTACGAAAACAATAATTGTTCAGATGTATTGTAAAGTTGATTCCTCTATTGAATTGGTATTGACTTGTAGCTGTACCATTGGGCCTTGAAATCCTGCCTTTGCGTCTCGAGAAGAAAGAGGCGCTGGAATGGGTGAAATGTAGAAACGCTATCTGTCAGATGCAAAGGAAAAATTTGAGGAAGTTGACTCACATATTTGTTAATTGCAATGGAGGAATATTCCAGAGGAAAAGTGTTAAAGTCTGTCGAAGGAAGTATCCTGGTTTTAATGAACGCTATAGCAATTTGCGGCAACATTTTCGTTTGCTGGGCAATTTACAGAAAGCGAAAAACCTTCAGTGTGCTTTATTTATACATCTTAGCGTTGGCAATATCAGACTTAACAGTCGCCATTACTTGTTTTCCTTTCTGCATTGAAGCCTTTCTAGCAGATAGATGGCTACATGGCCACGCAATGTGCCAATTTATCGGATTTACAATCTACTATTGGGCGGGAGTCTCTGTTCCTATACTCGCTCTGACAGCGGTTAATCGCTATTTTCGGGTTGTAAAAACACACATTTACCAAAATTTTTTTACGATAAAGTCCAGCGTGAAAATGATATTAACTGTATGGGCGCTAACCCTGTTTGATGGACTGATATCAACTTTTGTTGGCCCAGTTATATACAAGTACAACCCAAGATATTTTTTCTGTATTGGAACATTTGTAAGCAAAGCGCATGAAAGAGCCATCGGTTTATCTCTGCACCTAATTCACGTTTTCATTCCGCTTCTCACAATCCTTTTTTGCTACTCCAATGTATTCTTTGCGATACGTCGACATAAAACGAACGTGACGCCCTCGCTCCACGCGGGTAATGGTCAGCAGCTTGCAGTTAACGCGTGGGAAATGCGTGTAACGCGATTGCTGTTTCTTGTGGTCGTTGGGTTTCTTCTTTGCTGGATTCCCGTCATTATTATTGGGTTACTAGCGCATTCGTCTTCCCTCAAACTACCTGACTCTGCTTACGAATTGTACACTTTCTTTGCCTTTGCTTCGGCGGTCATCAATCCCATCATATATGGAGTGGCTAACCGTGGATTTCGGAGGGAATTTATTGGTATTTTTCGATGCTGTTAACTTTAATAGAGTAGGACTTAATTGTCCTTGGTCACCTGGAAAACACAATTGAACTGGAAGAATCCATCCATCAGTTAGGCAAGATTTCTCTTATTCATAACACAGTCCCTGGAAAGCGAAGTGGTTTTATTAAATGTAGCTAGTGCCTTTGTACGTACCGTATTTATTCGATTAACCGCCCTGGGCGCTTATTAAATTTTTGGACCTTGAGAGTGGGCGCTTACTAAATTTGCAGCATTTTCAGCAAGTGAAGTATTTTTATTTTGCAACAAAATAATAGATGCTAATAACGAAACGCGAAGAAGTAACAAAGCAAGGTTTCTGTAAAATACTCTGAAGAAAACTCCGTCCTCAGGAAAGTCTCTTATTAGAATTTATTCACTCAAGTGTGTGGGGTGGGGGTGAGCGCTTATTTGAGTTTGATTGGGAGGAGGAAGTGGTGGGCGCTTATTCGAGGCCTTTTTCTGCCTTTAGGTTGGGCGCTTATTCAAATAAATACGGTACTAACCCTTATATCAGTCAGCGTACTAGTAAAAGACACCACAGAAAGCCTCATTTTACATTTTTTTTTCACCAAAATAGTCAGTGCGGTTATTTATACTGAAAGAGGTTAAGCCCTCTCCCGATAGCAAAATGATAAAACTTGTTACATTTGAAGAGACTTGTTACATTTGTGCGCATTAGATCATATATTTGAATTGTATTTTGCGCCTAATAAATGATAAATTATTATTATTATTATAACTTTCCCGCCAATACGACATTCTCCCTAAAACGCGTTGTAGGATGACGATGGCTATCACGTTTTCCGGCCAAAATGACGCTGGCTCACACGCGTGCGCCACTTTATAGAATTGAGAAAATCTCGTACTCGTAGTCGCCCTTTAAAGTCGCCCTCGTCCTCGAATCTAAAGCTCTCTATTGACGTTACCATAGAAACCGAGGTTTGACTGGCATGGTAAGCGTCCTTTTTTAGATGAATCAAGAGACATACTCTTCATAACAAATTAAAACCTTCCGGTTTATTTTGTATGGTTAGTTTCATTATCAAGCTTCAGTATAACAGAGCTTTTTTGGAGATAATTTGTGAAAAGCCTTGATGATCTGCGCATGGCCAAATGACAGATGTACGTCGCGGTCATGTCTCAACAGTAAAAGAAGGTAGAAGGTAACACACGGGGCACGATTTCATTTTTGTAGGGAAAGTTCACCGATCCGGATAAGGAGGCACACTGAAAACAAGAAAAAGAAGCAAAGCCAGCGAGTTTTGTTCACTAAGGAGTCACATATATGGCTATTTCTGAGGAAAACAACTTAATAATTAATATACATGTAATGTGGTTAAATAGTTAAAACATTCTTTCATTTGTAGAAGTTATAAATATTCATAATTCAAATAAGATTTTGGCTTTTTCCTGCAAAAAAGTCCTTCAATACTTGAATTCGTTTCGCCTTTTCATCTTCCTCTGTTAATCCATGGCCTTTCACGGGAGCCTCAAACTCAAGATCCTCTGCCTCAAAGTATTCTGGGTAGTCTTCAGAATAAAGTTCCCTGAGTTGTTCAAATGTTCGACCGATGAAGCCGTCATCACTGTCAGCTTGCTCTCTGAGTTCCGTAAGGCAATTCCGGAAGCTGTTAAAAACAGAAGAGCAAAAATGGAGATTCGCCCCAGAAAAAATCAAACCTTGCGCAGTTTCAGGTTTTGTTCAAAAGTTGTTCTTACAGCTTCGGCTTACGGTCGAAAATGTATCGGTCTGCGGACGATTCAGAGAAATTTCGTCGATCTTCCTTTTGTTAACGGTCGATTTCCTTTCTTATGACTNAAGGCAATTCCGGAAGCTGTTAAAAACAGAAGAGCAAAAATGGAGATTCACCCCAGAAAAAATCAAACCTTGCGCAGTTTCAGGTTTTGTTCAAAAGTTGTTCTTACAGCTTCGGCTTACGGTCGAAAATGTATCGGTCTGCGGACGATTCAGAGAAATTTCGTCGATCTTCCTTTTGTTAACGGTCGATTTCCTTTCTTATGACTCTCAACCTTTCATTAAAAGCGTTTCTAATAGAAAGACTCCCAGAATCAGACTCAAGGATCTCCTATACTAATCTTTGGATCTCTCTTAAAAACAGAACTCGCCATGATTCCGGAAAAAATGCTTACACACGTTCTCATAAACTGTCTTTCCAGAGACATCTAACCTTATTAACCCTTAACGTAATTTTTACTCGGGCTTAAACCTCGTTTACATCTACGGTAATTAAAGGCTTGGTTATCAATGGTGGCATCGACAGAATGTATTAAATGGCAACGACCGTTTATGAAAGGGAAAACAGGTCTATTCTAGGGCAATAAAATCAGCTAGGTCTGGAGAAGGGCCTCTGAGTTTAATGATAGATACATTCCTTTGGGTTGGACGGAGGGGTTGGGGGAGGGGAGGGATGGTTGGGTGGGAAGAAATATTACACTGTTCAAGTCTTTCTGTAATGCTGTTTAAATCAAGGACGATACTTACCTGTATTTATTACAAAAGTTTTGCGTGACACTAACAGTGTCGTCAAGGTTCAGGACAGCATGCCACCAGCCACTGGGGATAAACACAATATCCCCTGGTTTCTGAACACACTCGATAGGCAGGTTACTCTTCTAAACCAAGATACACACATGTACAATAGAGAAATTGGTAAACGCATTGCTTATAAAATAATAAAGTGGATAAGCTAACGCTAAGTTAAATTGTCTGTGTCACGGCCCTCTAGTTCATTTTCTTACTTTGTAATGCGAATTGCGACAATTGCTCGTCCATGGAACTTGAACTGATTAATGTAAATGACAAAGCGACAGCTTCGTGTCAATGAAATATGTCTCCCCAGCATTATGAAATGAACTTTGAAATACTGTTAGACTAACAAGTTTTCAAAAACCACTATTGCAGTCCGTTTCAATCTTCCTTCAAGTTTGACCATCCGTGCCTTCTCTTGAATTTCCTGTGTTATTTGTTCTGCACCTTCATTTCGTGTTTTGAGCAGTTATTTAAATGTTTTATTCAATTCATACGAAGCATTTCCCATTGTTTGAATTTTGATGACAGAGCTCCTTAAGGTGTTACATACAGCTGTAAGAATTCACTTACGAATAAAGATATTAAGCATAAAAGGTTTAACACAACGTTTCGATGTCGCCATGACATCATTATCAAGTGACAAAGATAAAACTAAAACTGACCTAATATAGACGGTACAAAAAGAATTCGGTAAAGTAAATAAAAATAGAAAGATAAAACCGAATTTTATTTAAAAAAAAAAAGTAAAACTTTTACATTTTTTTTTTTTAATTTGCACATATTAAAACTCGGTTGCCATAGTAACATCAATAGTGACTTTCAAGTCAAACGACTTTTAAATGTTCCAAGATAAATTTTGGTAAAATTCGCTAGGTTTAGAGGCCATAGCTTGAACGGTTTTGAAGTTATCTGATTTTAACGCTTGGGGAGTGGAGGAACGGGGTCTGTTGAATTGGTTTAACTTTTTTAATAAAGCGACGTGAGATAGGTGTTAACCTAACAGCAATGAATTCGAAGGGAAAAAACAAATCTTCTCTAGCTGAAGATCATACCAAGTATGGCCGAGTATAGATCCACCAATAGAATGCATCTTCCATGTCGTAATCTCTCTTCTTATAGTTGTTGTTCTTCACACCTAAACAAAAACCATGACAACAGTGATGAATTTCGACTTCATTGGACACTAAAAATATTGAAAGTGAAAGTTAGGTAGCAGACTAAACGAGAAACATTCTCTCGTTATTTTGCGTTTTTTTTAAAGCCCTTTTGAAGGGCTGCTAGCTCTCCTCGCTCAGTATATAGTTGATCATACAGTATAACATGTCTCCCTGAATTAGATTTTTTTTTTGTGAGTGGCGATGTCATTGGCGGATGTCGAATTTAACTTAAAAAGGGTCTTAAATGGTTTGAACTGGGATCAATAAACGAAAAGAGCACCTCAAGGCACGTTTTATATAAGAACCAATCATCACAAACTCACCAGGAATATGATATACAGAGGGTGGGTACATCCCCCATAATTTAGCCCCCTGTATGAGCGCCAACCATCCAGTTGTATTAGCAGGGTCCACGTGCCACCCGGAGCCACTACGCTTGGCAGCCATGATAATCCAGCGCCAATCCAGGCGTAAATCGTCATCCAAACCAGTCAAGAAGTCATCAGATTCAGAAAAGAAATCCGGTACAGTATAATCCTGTCAATAATGACAACGAATTGTAACTGTCAAAATGCCAAACTGCCTAACAAGCGACGGCAACCAGGACATTAAGCTGATTTAGCAACAGAACTGGAACGTCATTTGACGACGGGAAAGCGCGCGGAAAGGACTAAACTCGACTTCCGGTGCCCAATTTGCCACTCTGCCATTGGTCAACCCAGCTGTTTGATTTGCGGGTGCCGTCGTCAACTGACGTTCCCGTTCTGTTGCTAAATCGGCCTATTGTAAGACATGGCCTTTGTTCGGTGCTTTGGTAGAACATGTACGCAGATATTTTGCAAACTACAAGGAATCTATAAAATGTTAACCCGTATCTACTACTAAAACACCGAATAATGGGTTTATGAGTCCATTCCTATTAAGTTTCAAATCAGTACGTTAAGACTCTGTTCAGTAGGATAACAAAACATGTTGAGAGTTACACCCCCATGCCAACGGTTTTTAAACCTTTTTCGGCCGTCAATACTCTCTATGGCCCCGGTTATTTTTGGAATCTCGTCCACACGTAGCGTATTGAAATCGAATTTGCCCGTCCACACATAACCAGATTCACTCTCAGTTCGTCAGCTGATTTGTAAAGCGATGCGAACTTTTCTCGCCACTTTTTAAATAACTGTTTCGCTGACAAAATCGTCCAACAAAGCACTAGTTCGCTCATTTAACTTGCGTCCAACATGGAAAGAAGCGTCAGAGTGTACACGTCGAGCAAGCGTTTGGCATAATTGAAGTGTACAGTGATCATAGCTACAATAGCGTTAATTACACGCGCGTTATAAGACTTAAAACTGAAGTCCAAGAGGTAGAGAAGAGATAACTTATTGCTCGGCACCAACTTGAATATTCACGGCAAATAACTGGGGTGGATCTTGTTACTTCACTGGATAAAAAAAATATCTGGATCTAGCGTCCACACGATTCCGGATTCTTAGCGCATTCAAAAAATTCCATTCTGGAGAGCGGAGTTGTATGCGGCAGGATTCACCGGATACGTGTAGACGGAAGCCGTACATTCGCGAAGAAAAAGTTGGGGATTCAAAAGCCATCTGCTGATTCGTTCTCGGTTCCTCCGTTTCTATTTTTGGGCGTGTGTAACTTCTTAGAGAGCTTGCTTAAAAGGTACCTGTTATTTTTCTTTCTCTCAATTTTATTTTTAATCCACATTTCTTTGAGTTCGATTCTGCTTGAGGAGCTATTACGGCAGTGTTTGAATTACCTGGATTTTTTTCATCCGGTCACACCAATACGAAACCCACAACTCACTTTCTACAGCGTTTTCGACAACCTCCGTTTTAAAATCTTTCACTTTTATATTTCGTGCTCTGCTATCCATATACAGTTAATGACGTCATAGTGAAACAATAAGAATTCACTCAGTCTATAGAAACGTTAGTTATTTCTGTCAAATACGTGACATGGCCGTATTGGCTAAGCAACCGCGCTTTCCTTACTGATCAGTTTTGGCAAGGACAATAAACCTGATTTCTTGAATTCACAGCTGTCACAACAATCATGTTCATCACTACACCACTCACCATCCTCAGCTCGGGATACAAATCAAACACGTCCGACATAAAAATGACCCACGGCGCAGTCTCATTGGCTGCCCTTTCTTTCAAGTATGTCACGTAGTTTGTTAAAGGCACTGGTGTCGACCTCTGACCGACAAAAACGCCGTCTGCTATTCGAGGGTCGTGTTGAAACTGTTCAAATGGCCACTTCTTCATTGCTTTCCAGTCATCCATCATGCCTGTTATAATACATGCTTGACCTGCGTAACATACGGTATTATGATTATTTAAGTGCCATAGACGAGAGTTCGAAAATCCAATAGGCAGATGTAGAAAAAGCCGACATTTCTTGGTTTTCCACGAAACGTCTAAGAAACGTCTGAGGAATGGGTGCAGAAATTCCGTACTGATGACGCGTCACTTCCCAGATCTGGGTAGTGCTTCTGATTGGTTGAAGCAAATCTTCAGCCAATTGAAAGCACTACCCAGTTCCCTGGGTAGCGACGCGTCATCAGTACGGAATTTCTGCCCCTGTTTCTCACCTGGTTTCATGCACTTCTCGGTAAATTCCTGTTTAGTTGGCTTGTGAATTTTTGGTATCGTACAGTGTGTACTATGTATTGGCCAGGTGTCCTCTGGGTCTACGTTTCTCAGAAAATCCTCAAAACTGCTAACTCTTGTTTGAAATCTTTTCTCGTGCGGCTGAAGATTTTCTTTGTCACCTTTGTAAATGCAAAAATGGTTGTTAATTCTTAAGACACTCTACATGCGCGCGCATTCTTTTTCGATTGACGTCTGGACTTCCATGAAACATTTCAATCGCTTTTTAAAAGTCTCCGCGTACCCTAAAGATACTTGCTACTTAAAAGAGCGATATCCAGGATCCATGCAAGTACCTTGAATCCGGAATCCATTGCGTGCAATCCAGAATCCAAGGATGACACGGATTCCCTTACATGTGGCTACTTAATGCAGTTTTATTATTCATTCAAATAATTTCCCCGATTCTCAGTGGCTAAAACCACACGCATAATTCACCACAACCAGCAACTGATGACCAAATTTGGAAGAATTTTACGATTAATCAGACAATGACGTCAGAACCCTAACCCTTTTTCAAACCTTCCCCCCCCCCCCAGGAGATAATTTTTTCAGGAAGGACAGGACTGTTTAACCACCCCCCCCCCTCCCCCGGGGGTTCTCTGTATAGTGGCCTTCACCGGAAGGCTCAAGGGGGTACCTTTTTTCAGGTGTCTGTTATATGAAAGGGTCGGGATTTTTTCACGAGTTGAAGGAAAAAAAGGTAGGGAAATCTATCTGTTCGGTCTGTAATAAAAAAGGCCCAAAAGTACCTAACAAATGTCTTGTGTCTGTGAAAAGGCCGAGAAGTCGTTCTAGTTTCGTGATTTTTTTTTTCGTATTTTAAAGACAGCAGTAGAAAGGGAAGAAAAAATCTAAACTAGGCATGTGAAAGAGATGTCTTTGATCAATAGAAGGTATACGAAGGAGGTCCTTTTTTCCGTCAATGAAATTAGTATGTAAAAGTTCAGAGCTAGGTTGGACCTCGGGTGCGTGACCTCCCCCTGTTCAGCTTACCTGTTTTCTGACCTCCTTCGATGTAAAACAGTTCCGTATCCTTGCATAACTCCCTTTTGTCCTTGAGCAGTGCACAGACTCTTATCTTATGTTCCCCACCCCCTAAATTCTCCGGTACGATAACATGCTTCTCATAAATCATTCTTTCCCTCCGCTTTTCCGGAAACAATATATCGGCAGGGTAAGAGTGGACGATGTCTCCCTTGCTGTTCAATACCCTCAAAAGCCATTTGTCAGCCTCTTCATCGCTGTACACAAATGAGACTCGCCGAGATTTGCCGTTTGCCACCCATACACTGGTTTGCTTGGGCTCAAGGATTTCAAGCTCGTTGAAAGCCATACTAGCTAAAACAAGAAAATTCATTTTTCGCAAAGTGAGAAGAAACGTTTCCATTTTAACAGTCAGTGACGAGCTGGCATGTAGAAGGCAACGGTAAATTCTGTTTAAAGTAGTTCATCTAAAATAATTATGTCATTGAAAAGTGGAAATGACGCTTGTTTAACATGCATATAATTACATTGGTAGACCGGTCGGTTCACGGTTTGGGCAAATGGTAAGCAAACTTCAGGACTGTAAATTTCGCCTCGGAATCGCGTTCAGAATTTGTACAAAGATGGTTTTTGAAGAAATGGATTAATTTCCGTTTGGAACATTCAGTCCGGATAAATATGACTACCTTTTCAGTTTTTCCGTACGTTGTTCCCAGAAATTTTCTGCTGGAACGACCCAAGAAGTCGCTTTCCGTTTACTTTCCGACCGGATTTTCCGGTAACGTTTTGTATTACTTGAAATGGTAAACGACCAATATTAGCCACGAATTAAGTTCGTTCAGTTAGCTTCCTGTAGCAACACTGTGGAGACTTTTCACTTTCACTTGCTCCCTATAATAAGCTCACTTTGTATTCGGGAATTAAAAATCTTTGGAACAGATTTCGAGAACAAAAAGAATTATTCATGGTTATCATAGTCCGGACTCTAGAGAGCTTTAATCCTGGAAAGAAATCTCATCAATCGTTTTTCTGTTGGCTAGTCGACTGACACTAGTTTGGGCTAGAAGGAATTGATATGCAAAACGACAAGAACGAATGCTCCATTTGTTGTGATTACCTATTTACATCAATAATTGAAGAAAAACGACATGAGTCAAACTTTTACCTCTTTGAGCCTTCGTATACGTACCTTGGAAACAGAACAGTATCATACGCATGATTTTCAAGGCTTGAGTCATGGTCTTCTGTGCGATCCCCTAGTTTATGAGAAGAAAAGCAAAAGCATTTATGCAATAAAGTTTACTGTTTCTTGTTCAATTCAAAACATTTTCTCAACATTCACACAAAACCAGCTACACGTTAATTATCAAGTTTTGTTACATCATGAGGAAAAAGATAGTCACTTACTCTAAGAGAATATCTGGGATCAATAAACGAAAAGAGCACCTCAAGGCACGTTTTATATAAGAACCAATCATCACAAACTCACCAGGAATATGATATACAGAGGGTGGGTACATCCCCCATAATTTAGCCCCCTGTATGAGCGCCAACCATCCAGTTGTATTAGCAGGGTCCACGTGCCACCCGGAGCCACTACGCTTGGCAGCCATGATAATCCAGCGCCAATCCAGGCGTAAATCGTCATCCAAACCAGTCAAGAAGTCATCAGATTCAGAAAAGAAATCCGGTACAGTATAATCCTGTCAATAATGACAACGAATTGTAACTGTCAAAATGCCAAACTGCCTAACAAGCGACGGCAACCAGGACATTAAGCTGATTTAGCAACAGAACTGGAACGTCATTTGACGACGGGAAAGCGCGCGGAAAGGACTAAACTCGACTTCCGGTGCCCAATTTGCCACTCTGCCATTGGTCAACCCAGCTGTTTGATTTGCGGGTGCCGTCGTCAACTGACGTTCCCGTTCTGTTGCTAAATCGGCCTATTGTAAGACATGGCCTTTGTTCGGTGCTTTGGTAGAACATGTACGCAGATATTTTGCAAACTACAAGGAATCTATAAAATGTTAACCCGTATCTACTACTAAAACACCGAATAATGGGTTTATGAGTCCATTCCTATTAAGTTTCAAATCAGTACGTTAAGACTCTGTTCAGTAGGATAACAAAACATGTTGAGAGTTACACCCCCATGCCAACGGTTTTTAAACCTTTTTCGGCCGTCAATACTCTCTATGGCCCCGGTTATTTTTGGAATCTCGTCCACACGTAGCGTATTGAAATCGAATTTGCCCGTCCACACATAACCAGATTCACTCTCAGTTCGTCAGCTGATTTGTAAAGCGATGCGAACTTTTCTCGCCACTTTTTAAATAACTGTTTCGCTGACAAAATCGTCCAACAAAGCACTAGTTCGCTCATTTAACTTGCGTCCAACATGGAAAGAAGCGTCAGAGTGTACACGTCGAGCAAGCGTTTGGCATAATTGAAGTGTACAGTGATCATAGCTACAATAGCGTTAATTACACGCGCGTTATAAGACTTAAAACTGAAGTCCAAGAGGTAGAGAAGAGATAACTTATTGCTCGGCACCAACTTGAATATTCACGGCAAATAACTGGGGTGGATCTTGTTACTTCACTGGATAAAAAAAATATCTGGATCTAGCGTTCACACGATTCCGGATTCTTAGCGCATTCAAAAAATTCCATTCTGGAGAGCGGAGTTGTATGCGGCGGGATTCACCGGATACGTGTGGACGGAAGCCACAGAAAAGAAAACGTTGCGGATTCAAAAGCCATCTGCTGATTCATTTTCGGTTCCTCCGTTTTTATTTTTGGGCATGTGTAACTTCTTAAAGAGCTGGCTTAAAAGGCACCCGTGATTTTTTTTTCTCTCTCTTTTTTTAAATCCACGTTTCTTTAAGTTCGATTCTGCTTGAGGAGCTATTACGGCAGTGTTTGAATTACCTGGATTTTTTTTCACCCGGTCACACTAATACTACCGCGTTTTCGACAACCTCCGTTTTAAAATCCTTCACTTTTATATTTCGTGCTCTGCTATCCATATACGGTTAATGACGTCATAGTGAAACAATAAGAATTCACTCAGTCTATAGAAACGTTAGTTATTTCTGTCAAATACGTGACATGGCCGTGTTGGCTAATTAACCGCGCTTTCCTTGCTGATCAGTTTTGGCAAGGACAATAAACATGACTTCTTTGAATTCACAGCTGTTACAACAATCATGTTCATCACTACACCACTCACCATCCTCAGCTCAGGATACAAATCAAACACGTCCGACATAAAAATGACCCACGGCGCAGTCTCATTGGCTGCCCTTTCTTTCAAGTATGTCACGTAGTTTGTTAAAGGCACTGGTGTCGACCTCTGACCGACAAAAACGCCGTCTGCTATTCGAGGGTCGTGTTGAAATTGTTCAAATGGCCACTTTTTCATTGCTTTCCAGTCATCCATCATGCCTGTTATAATACATGCTTGACCTGCGTAACATACGGTATTATGATTATTTAAGTGACATAGACGTGAGTTCGAAAATCCAATAGGCAGATGTAGAAAAAGCCGGCATTTCTTGGTTTTCCACGAAACGTCTAAGAAACGTCTGAGGAATGTGTGCAGAAATTCCGTACTGATGACGCGTCACTTCCCAGATCTGGGTAGTGACGCGTCATCAGTACGGATTTTTTGCCCCTGTTTCTCACCCGGTTTCATGCACTTCTCGGTAAATTCCTGTTTAGTTGGCTTGTGAATTTTCGGTATCGTACAGTGTGTACTATGTATTGGCCAGGTGTCCTCTGGGTCTAGGTTTCTCAGAAAATCCTCAAAACTGCTAACTCTTGCTTGAAATCTTTTCTCGTGCGGCTGAAGATTTTCTTTGTCACCTTTGTAAATGTTAAAATGGTTGTTAATTCTTAAGACACTCTACATGCGCGCGCATTCTTTTTCGATTGACGTCTGGACTTCCATGAAACATTTCAACCGCTTTTTAAGAGTCTTCGCGTACCCTAAAGATACTTGCTACTTAAAAGAGCGATATCCAGGATCCATGCCAGTACCTTGAATCCGGAATCAATTGCGTGCAATCCAGAATCCAAGGATGACACGGATTCCCTTACATGTGACTATTTGATGTAGTTTTATTATTCATTCATTAAATAATTTCCCCGATTCCTGGTTGGCTAAAACCACACGCATAATTCACCACAACGGCTACTGATGACCACATTTGGAAGAATTTTACGATTAATCATCCGATGACGTCAAAAGTGCAGCTTCCTTGCAGGTTAATGCACCGTCAACCAAGACGACCTGGGAACGAGGTTGAGTTGTTTTGGTTGAAAAATAAAAATTGCGGACATTTCACTCGTTTCAAGAGTAAGAACTAGGCGAAATAATAGCTAAAAACATGGCAAGAACAGCAAGAAGACAACTCGAAGGGCGACATCTGCTATTTGGAGAATATTTGAGGAGCTGAACAAACCTAAACGTGCACTATCGGAGATCAACTTAACATCGATGGAGGTAAGCATGTTTCAGCTATGTTTTTAAACTAGGAATTATTTTTGAATGAATAACAAAACAGTTATTGAATTCGGCTTTCGTATCATATGAAGAATTATGGAGATCTAGAAGGGTGTTATCCTCCGCGGCCTACTGCCACGACGGATAACATCCTCCTCATCGATCTCCATAATTCTTTATAAAATACTCAGCGTCATTCATTAATTGTTAAATAATTAATGCCCAAGCACTAAAACATTTGAACTAAGACAGCGCTTACTTTGATCCTGTCACCACCTCTCGCAAGAGAACAGTTTTTATCCTAAGTATAACAACTAAGTTAACCGGGTCGCATACCAAAAACCTTTTCCAAACCTCCCCCTCTAGAAGATATTTTTTTCAGGAAGGACAGGTGACAGGACTGTTGAACCACCCCCCCCCCCCTCCCCCTATAGTGGCTCTTACCGGGAGACTCAAGGGGGTACCTTTTTTCAGGTGCCTATTATATGAAAGGGTAGGGATTTCACGAGTTCAAGGAAAAAAAGATAGGGAAATCTGTCTGTTCGGTTGGTAAAAAGGCCCAAAAGTACCTAACAAATGTCTTGTGTCTGTGAAAAGGCCGAGAAGTCGTTCTGGTTTCCTGATTTTTTTTTTTCGTATTTTAAAGACAGCAGTAGAAAGGGATGCAAAAATCTAAACTAGGCATGTGAAAGAGATGCCTTTGGTCAATAGAAGGTACACGAAGAGGGTCATTTTTCTGTCAATGAAATTGGTATATAAAAGTTAAGAGCTAGGTTGGACCTCGGGTGCGTGACCTCCCCGTATAAAACTTTGTTAAGTAATTAATCTCCGGGTGTTCAGCTTACCTGTTTTCTGACCTCCTTCGATGTAAAACAGTTCCGTATCCTTGCATAACTCCCTTTTGTCCTTGAGCAGTGCGCAGACTCTTATCTTATGTTCCCCACCCCCTAAATTCTCCGGTACGATAACATGCTTCTCATAAATCATTCTTTCCCTCCGCTTTTCCGGAAACAATATATCGGCAGGGTAAGAGTGGACGATGTCTCCCTTGCTGTTCAATACCCTCAAAAGCCATTTGTCAGCCTCTTCATCGCTGTACACAAATGAGACTCGCCGAGATTTGCCGTTTGCCACCCATACACTGGTTTGCTTGGGCTCAAGGATTTCAAGCTCGTTGAAAGCCATACTAGCTAAAACAAGAAAATTCATTTTTCGCAAAGTGAGAAGAAACGTTTCCATTTTAACAGTCAGTGACGAGCTGGCATGTAGAAGGCAACGGTAAATTCTGTTTAAAGTAGTTCATCTAAAATAATTATGTCATTGAAAAGTGGAAATGACGCTTGTTTAACATGCATATAATTACACGGGTAGGCCGGTCGGTTCACGGTTTGGACAAATGGTAAGCAAACTTCAGGACTGTAAATTTCGTCTCGGAATCGCGTTCAGAATTTGTACAAAGATGGTTTTTGAAGAAATGGATTAATTTCCGTTTGGAACATTCAGTCCGGATAAATATGACTACCTTTTCAGTTTTTCCGTACGTTGTTCCCAGAAATTTTCTGCTGGAACGACCCAAGAAGTCGCTTTCCGTTTACTTTCCGACCGGATTTTCCGGTAACGTTTTGTATTACTTGAAATGGTAAACGACCAATATTAGCCACGAATTAAGTTCGTTCAGTTAGCTTCCTGTAGCAACACTGTGGAGACTTTTCACTTTCACTTGCTCCCTATAATAAGCTCACTTTGTATTCGGGAATTAAAAATCTTTGGAACAGATTTCGAGAACAAAAAGAATTATTCATGGTTATCATAGTCCGGACTCTAGAGAGCTTTAATCCTGGAAAGAAATCTCATCAATCGTTTTTCTGTTGGCTAGTCGACTGACACTAGTTTGGGCTAGAAGGAATTGATATGCAAAACGACAAGAACGAATGCTCCATTTGTTGTGATTACCTATTTACATCAATAATTGAAGAAAAACGACATGAGTCAAACTTTTACCTCTTTGAGCCTTCGTATACGTACCTTGGAAACAGAACAGTATCATACGCATGATTTTCAAGGCTTGAGTCATGGTCTTCTGTGCGATCCCCTAGTTTATGAGAAGAAAAGCAAAAGCATTTATGCAATAAAGTTTACTGTTTCTTGTTCAATTCAAAACATTTTCTCAACATTCACACAAAACCAGCTACACGTTAATTATCAAGTTTTGTTACATCATGAGGAAAAAGATAGTCACTTACTCTAAGAGAATATATAGCCTTTCAAGTGGTGTAAAGTGAATTATTTCAATTCTATATCGGTGTTTTTTCCAACTCCATTGCTACAGTTTTTCCGCTTAAAAAGACTTGAACTGATAGTCTGCAACTGACGCATGCGCCATGGATTCAGATCACCTGTTATTTGGGCATTTTAACGTAGAGCAAATACAGGCGGTTAAGCTGTGTTTACTATACAGAAAATTATCGTTTCGCTGTGTATAGAGCCCAGTTTTGGATCACAAACTATCTAAGATATAAAAACAAGCACAGTACTTTAGTTAACAGGATTTCTTCCAATAGAAGATTTTAATATTAATTTACCAGGACAGTGTAGTATATTAAAAGTTAGAAAAAAATGTCATTTGAACACCAGTGACTATTTTTTTGGTCTCCATTTACTGCTGAACGATTTTTGAGAATCCATCTAACGGTCAAACATTCGTGGAAAAATTTTCTGATTAATCGACCTAAACTTAAGTGAACTCACGGTCTGTGGAAACTCCTTTGATTCGTTGCAGGCCGGGGCGCAAAGGAGTTGGACTCCTTGAGTCTTCATTGGTAAGAGGCCAGTCTGTGTGAATTACAGCCAATATAAATAATTAACTTCAATAATCACTCATTCCCCGACTTCCTTTCGACATTTGGGATCTCAAAGCCTCGTATAAAGCAACGAATTGAAATGATATAGCCCAGTTCTCAAGTACATGAAGGATTACAGTCAGGGGCACCCAACGACCGTCTCCTTCAAAATAACATTGAAAACTCTTTTAGACTATTCAGATTACGTACTTCAAGATCTTTGGAAATGCATTTCAAGCGGCGCTATAAAATTTGTATCGGTTCAGTCATCCTTGGAGAACTTATTATAAGTCTTTTCGAAATTATAAGGGCTTCAGTATTATTTTCTCGAAAATTTTAGATGCAAGTTATCCTTTTACGAAAGTAAGAATTTTTCTGATTCTTTTCTCCATTACATTTTTGAATTTGAAAATTTTAGGTTTCCTTTTTTGTACGAAAAACCTCAGTAATGAAACGTGAAAAATTAAACTTCAGAAAATCGTGGAGAATTTATCAGATAACCTTCGAAAATTGAACATGAATGGAACGCAATCTTCCAGAAATATTACAACGTTCTCAAGCTATAGAAAATTCTAGGCCATATACAGTCAAACCTCTTTAATACGGACACCAAAAAGAGATAAAAACAATTTAATGAGATAAGAGTAGAAAGCGATCTTATTTTAAACTGAGCGTGTTTGTGTTTTCACTGACACGGAAATAAAATTCGTCATGAACAATCGATAACACCATAACTAAACGTGTTGACATTTCTATCCACGCCTCGGTGCACAGACAAATATAAATTTACGTTCTTGAAAATTCTCATTTCTATCAGTAGGGCGAGGAAACTAAGGACATATCTGTTCTTGTTTTTCCTTCAACAATTGCCCATTTGGAGGTACAGGACTTTAAGAGAGCTGGCCGTATTGTATAAATACACGAAAAAGTCCAAATTAGGTGCATTATGTATTTTGAAAGCCGATACAGCGGGACCATATTACACTTAGAAGATGTAGCGTATGTGCCCAAAGTATATAGGCCACTTATTACAGTGTAACCTCGATAATTCGAACTATAGTCTCATTTCCCTTGAATTTCATCTCCCCCCTAACTCGTACTAAATTTCGGCTTTCCTTTTATCCGGCAAAATTTCCCTTACAGTCCAACCACTAGTAAGATAACTCTACTTGTTATATAATAGCCCTTGTAATCGGTAAAAACTCTTAAAGTTAACTTTACAGCAAGTTGGTTTTAACTGGTGCAACGAACAGATCATCTTTTGTCAGAAATAATGCATAATGAAATCATAGTGCCGCTTCTGATGAAATAACTGAGTACATCAATACCTACTATACAGTATACCATACCATACCATACTATACTTAACAATTAGCTCTTGAGTCAATAGCCCATGAGGCCGAAGGTTATTGACTTAGAAAATGCAACTAGTTGGTGAAAAATATCGAGACAAAACAACTTTAGCTAGCAAAACGCGATTCAGCCGCCATCGTTTTGGTTTGCAAAGCCAGCGCTTTTCGTTACCAGCGGGCTGTAACATATAGCCTAGTAGTAGTTCAACCAATCAGAACGCAGAATTGATAATAGACCACTAGTTGGATTTTACTAATACACTTTAGTATATACTAAAACAGTGAATAGTGTTTTTCGGGCGCTCTGATTGGCTACTCAATCAGTGAATATCCTGCACTATTCACTGATTCACCTCCAGTTCCTCCGAGCGAGCGACGCCAAACTCGCGTAGGTTGCGAGCAAAATGCTTTCCCGGTTTTCTGCCGTAACAAACTAAGAAATTTCAGAACTAATCAAGCAAGCTATTTCCGAAATAAATGAAGAAGGTGACGAAGTTCGGTTTGGAAGTTTTAACAGGTAAAGCTTTGCCTTTTTTATTTGACCAGTTATCGATAAAACCGGTAAAAAAGTTTTTTGTTTACAAATGCAAACTAAGCTTAAGTGTTGCGTTACTTTATTTAGTTGACTTGTTCATAAATAAGCTTAAAACTAAATTTAATAATCTTTTTTACAGAATTATTTTAAATACAAACAGAATTCACAACTCCTTTTGAAGAAACTTCCCCGCAAGAGCTAAACAAACGCCTTCAAAAGTATTATTTGTCGCTAAGAAAAAGTGACGACCACGGCCTTTCGGTCATCGCGCGCCAAAATTGTAATCGTTGGCAACAGTAAATGAGTTAAAAATCATCATTTTGTGCTCAATTATCTCACTGTTTTAGTATATACTAAAACAATTATTCACCTCAGTGTCGGTGGCTAGTATTTACCTCGCCGCTTCGCGGCCTCGGTAAATATTCAATACTAGCCACCTCCACTTCGGTGAATAATTGTTATATACAGCTATTTCGAAAAAGGTTGTCGGAAGAACTGTGCACGCGATAATCCCGAAAGGTAATATGGGATATGATCAATGCACTTTTCCTGACACTGTAGCTGTCGAATCTACTTTTGTTGCTTTCCTTTACCACTCGCAAACATACGTCCATGGTTTCTCGTGCCATTCTTTGAAATTTCTTTGAAAAACAGTGGACTCAATATCACCCACAATACCTTTCGGGATTGTCGCGTGCACTTTTTCCGACAACCTTTCTTGAAATAGCTGTATACTATACCCGTCCGATACTTTGACGTGAATATTGAACATTGAATATTGAATATCGAATAGATCGATCCCAATAATTATTTAAAATATGAAAACTGTAATATACGTGGAAATGACATTCTTACCATTGTTTGAAACATCAGCAAAATTTTTAATAAGATGTTGATGGTTAAATTACTGTCGTGCGGCCACTGACAACAGTCGATGTAAGCCGCAGCTTTCGTACGAAAGTTAGCCAGGGCGCCGGTGACATGGCTTTTAAGTTTCCATACGTGATCGTCGATCTTAAAGAAAATGGCAGAATTGAGAAAAATCAATCCTATCATCAAGGATCGTGATTCATTCTAACAAAAAAAGCCTTAATACCAGCCCTCATGTTTGACTTTTGACACAGTCTCCTTAAGCAACTGGGCAGCTTGCAATAATCGCGAAAAATATTAAAAAGATGCGAAGACAGGCAAGGTATATTTTCGGCGAAATTTGCATTGGCGTCCCCTTTGTCGGATCTTAAGGACCCTATTATTCCTTGCATGAAGCTCGAGGGACACACGGTAAACTCCCATGCGGTTTGATTGCTACGGCCTTAGCGCAAAAAAAAAAAAAGATCAAAACAATAGCCAAAACGACCCAAGAGAAACGAACACGCTTTTTCGGGTTGTTGCTACGAGCTTTGTTACGTAGATTGACACTTTGGAAACAAACTTGTAAATTTTCCTTATGATCCACAATCGCAATTATGCAAACTTTGCCGAACACTTAAAAAGTCTTTTCAATTCTAGTTTTCACGGCAGTCGGCCCAGAAACCCTAACCTTCAACAACAAACCCAAATCTTCACTGAGCTTTACTTATAAGTTTAGACATCAGGCCAACTTTTCCGGGGTATGAACCTTAGTTGGCTGTCCTGAATATCAAGGAAGTATTTTTCCCATTATGATATATCAGCGAAAAGACCGATTTTAAAACACAATTCGATAGAAGTTGACTAAGTAAGTTCTAGGAAAATGGTCGTAAGGTGCTGCTACAAGGGACGATTCGCAATGACGATTTTTAACAATGTACAATGGAACCCCGTTAATACGGTCATCAATGAGCCAAACAAATTTGGCAGTATTAACGGGTAACCGTGTTAACGAGGTGTGTTTTTTTTTACAAGAAAATGTATGGTCGTTTTGCCGGGCGGCCAAAAAAGTGGCCGTAATAATGAAAAGGTGACCGTATTACCGAGGTGGCCGTAAGGCGGGGTTCCACTGTAACAATGTAACGCTGTGTTGCGCTAAAAATCTTCGTTGCGAATCGCCACCTTTAACTCCAAATTTTCTTCGAAAACGCCAGAAGTTTCCTTTTCAGAAAAGAGATATATCAAGTGGATATCGTTATCCACCTTTTAAGCAGCTGGGTAACGGATGTGTCGTGGCAATCTGAACGGTGTAACAATTAGTGTGTAAAATTAAAAAATGCAATAATTTCCAACCGAAATATCATTTTTAATATTTACCTTTGATGTGGTGGTGAAATGTGGTAGATTGTGTCTGGCCTGATCAATCCCATCTATAGTTATCGACAAATACTTCTTAGGTTCCCCTTTCGCGTTTAGCTCGTGTTTGTAATACTTCTTGCGTTCAGCTCTGTTTGTTGGATGAAAAGCTTTCTATTTCTTTCTTAACGACACTTCAGTTTAGTGGATGGTTAAAACTGACTAATAAAAAAACTGTGAATGTTTTCTTGCAAGTCTGTGATATGAACGTTTTCACAAATGGTAAAATACCGGGTTAGTCTCCAATAAACTTGACCCGCGGGATATAGCGTAAATTGTTTATTTCCACCCCTGTTTACACTTTTGAAGGAAACCTAGAACGTTATGAAAACATTATTTTTTGTTGAAAGCGTTAAATTTTTTTGTATTTCTTTAGCCGAGCCGGAAACTTTTGACGGCATGAAAGGAATCAGCCGTCCATCGTTTTGTTTTGTTAAAAACAAAATCTTTTGAACAAGATTCTTGCTCGCGGCCGAGTCGCCGATCGCTGCGCTGCGAAGATCTTTCTTTGGCAAAACAATATGTTCCAAAAAGAAAAGACACGTCTTTTTCTCTTTGAATGGAGAGATTAACCAGTCGGCTATTCAGCAAAATACAATTCTTATGCAAAGATGCTGCAGTATATTTGCGGAGCTGAACAACTTTCTAGCTCCTACACTTGCCGATTAACGTGCACTGTCGCATGTTTTAGATTGTTTTCAATAAATTAACTACCGAGTGGCACGAAAATTTTGTGGGAGTTTATTTTTGCGGATCGGCGATGTTTTATGTTTTGCGAGAACTAATTTTTGCGATTAGGACAGATTGGTTTTCTTGCTGGGAACTGATTTTTGCGATTTTCAGAAAGTACCCAGTACTCAGCATTGATGATATTTTCGTTTTTATTGAGTATGTGCAATAGAAATACATATTCTTAAACCATAAACTAGTATTTCATTTTATACCGTTTTGTTTCTGTATGAAACGGACTAGTAGTGATTGAACAGACATGATTTCTTAGTACTGTATTACTGTGTAGCGAATTTAAGGTCGAGGATATTTACTTTGGAGTAAATTTTTGCGGGAACTTGTTTTTGCGGATTGTTGAAAAAATCGCAAAAAACAGAACCCACAAAAAATTTGGTGCCACACGGAAGGAAATATTTTGAATGAATAATAAAACAATTATTGAATTTGGCTTTCGTATCATCTGAAGAATTATGGAGATCGAGGAAGGTGTTATCAGGCCGTACTCAGCCTCATTCAATAATTGTTTTGGGGGGTGTTATACACTTATGCTCTCTTGACACTCATCCACGATAGTCGCCCGTAACGCAAAGGGATCGACCTCGACGATCTTAGGGGAAAAAAATAGAGGAATGTAAAGTTGTACAAGTCCAATTCTAAAATCAGCCTTAGTAGGTTAGAAATAGAACAAGGCTGATGACTGGCTAAAAATCCTGCTAAAAATACATCTTGATGTCTGCAAACCGACGTGAAGTTCCGACGGATAGCAGTCTTCTGCTATCTCTACTTTCGGGGGGTCGTTACTTTCAGATAGCTAAAACGTGCACTCCACATAAGCACTTAATTCCAAAAAATAAAATCGCAACAAAAGTGAAAGGAATAATCTTGGGAAAAAGGTATTTTATTTCCTGTACTTTAAGAGTTATGAATAGGCATGTCAAATATTCATTATTTATAAATTTTGGATCACTGTGGCATTTGTTTAGGATATCTATCATAACGCCTTTTTTTTTTCTTTTCCTGCAAAAAAGGAAATTAGTTTTGAGGCCTCTATACCTTCGGAGGGTCGTTATTTTCGGGATTTGCTGACACCCGTGACATTTTATCGCCACTTTCTGAGGTTCTTTACTTTCGAGGGGTCGTTACTTTCGGAATTTTACCCTGTTCAATCATCAAGCTTATTGCACCACAACAAGAAATCCAAGATGGCGGATAACAGTGTAAATAAAGCAAGTAAAATTTTTACATTTGCCGGTCTTTATCCGAATTTAATCTCAGCCACGAAGGGAAGCTATGGGCTGGAAAGAGAACGGAAAGTTTGGAGTGACAACTGGGCGAACAGTTCGTGCGCCTTTCGCAAGGACTTTAAAGTGCTGCCGTGGCGAAGAGATGGTCCTGAAATTTACCAGGGGAACAGAGAACTTATCCAGCGATGAGTTGCAGGATTTCCTGAAGGAGAACGATATAGACGATGGTCTTGGAGATTTCAATGAGTTTACAACCAGGTTATTGAGAATTCAAGGTGTCGATCGTTGCTGTCATGTTCATTACTCCCTCAAAAAACGAAAACGATGGCAACTAGCAGAGAACGTAAAGCAAATGGAACATACAAAGGAAACTGCCCCTAATGTGACTTTTATTCACCGACGAGTGGACAGAAAACGCACAGCAGATTGCTTTGAAGTGGTAAGAGCTAAGGCAGGCGAAGTTTTGCAGCCCAGAAAGCGTAAATATGCAAGAGCGCAAGACTTGCTTAAGAGATCTGAAAAGGCGGAACTGGAACCAGAGGTTTGCTATGAGATGAGGTATCGTTATCCAAGGAATGAGTATCCACAGTGTAAAGAAGTCCCTATAAAATGCAGATGTTCGTTATGTAGGTGGTTTGATCCTAACCCTGGCAAAGCGTTATGCAAGAACAAAGGTGCAAAGAACAAAGGGCGTCGCTGGGGTCTGTACTCTGATGCTGACCTTAGAAGTGGACACATAAAAGAAAAGAAACCAGTACTGCAGGAGAACTCACAGAGAAACACTTCTGGTGGAAAAGTCCAAGCCGTTGATTCAACTGAGTTTCGTAAATGCAATGATTTACAAGAGAGCTCTCCCTTTTGTGGAACGTTGGATCTTGGATTGTACATGTTGGAAAGCTCTAAAACTAAGAGGAAACAAACCAAGAAGAACAAGCACAATCCCGATCTGAAACTTAGCACTATAAAGGATGGCTCACTGAGATATAACTTAAAGTATGGAAAGAACAGTGTAGTGTACATCGAACAAGAGCCAGAGGAATAGTCTTCTGCAGACTTGAGCTCCTCTGCCAATGAAAAAAAAAAAAAACAGGCTCCATCATGCCAGATGCTATTATTATTGTTATTATATTAGTGTTTTTTATTCTTTCACTTTATTTTATCTATGTATCTTTATCAGCAGTTTTACTTTTCATAAGTTTTATCTATCATAGATTCATTCTATACATTTTAATTATTTTTATTGTGAAGCGCTTTTGACCATTTTTATGTTAAATTATGTTAACCCTCGGACGTACAAGCAAATTCATACCCCCGCCGTGGTAGAAGGAGAGGGTAGATGGAACCCCTTCCCGGAATTTTTGATATGTTGCAGTATTTTTTAGTCAACTAGTTTCTTCGAGTATGTTAGTATAATTTTACACACGATTCCCAGGAAGACCATGTAAAAGTGACACGATTTCGTGTATAAATAAAGATTGGTGATGATGATTTTACCTTGAGTGGAAAGCTTTTGATCTTCTTAACAAGATGAGGTGTATTTTATGGATGATGGCACTGCTGGAGGCCTGTGACGTGACCAACAATAGTAGCCATCTTGGATTTTACCAAGAATTTGAATTCAGGTTAAAACAGCGAGAAATGGTATTTTTTTTGTGCTTTACATGAGACAAAACACATGAGTAAGCACTTTGCATGATTTTAGCCGCAATATTTACTTTTACTGTCGAAAGAAGTTGAAAAAAACGTGAATTTTCACCCAAAATTGGCTTAACCACCTGCTACTTTGACGTCATATCTCGTAACCATAGCGACTAACCATTACTAAACTCGTCTTAAAAATCTGCGCGAGGGATGAACGAACAGCTACTGAAAACGTCATGCACTGACATTTTATCCTGTAGGAAAAAACTCCGAAAAACGTTTTTTTAGGGGGGGGGGGGGCATCCACCTCCCCCCCCCCCCCCCCCCCCACGAGTCGCAAGTGAAGTTTGAGACTCAAGGAGATGGCTTCAATTCAAGCTAGATCACAGCCCCTTATTTTCCTCCACCAAGTTGAAGATTGCGATCGCCGCTTTCAAAGTGATTTGGGTATCCTCTGACGACTAAACTGGTGAGAGCGAAGTTGGTGCTAATTTGAATGGTTCGCTAACGTGTGTGTGTGTGTGTGTGGAACTCCAACTTTTATGGGAGGGGCTGTTGTGATTCCCATGATCATGGAGATCCACACAGACTTCCTATGCCCGTTTCAGACCCCAGACAGGACACTGACAAGACGGAACCAAATGCTCCGAGATGATGATATATTTAGCAAGGTGGAACAAAGAAACAAAGAAACAAACAAAGACGGACGGCTCCTTTCATTTCTATTCACCTTTGACCCGGACACGTAACAAACGGATACTGTAATATTCAGTGAATTTAACTGGAAAATAGTGTTTTCATAACAAGTCGCATTAGCAAACCTTTAAGTGTCTTTGCACACAGAGTGGCAAAAAAAATGCAAAGTCACAGGGGATGCCCAAATTAAATCACAGCGGTGATCTCCATCCTCAACCAGGTGGGAAAAAAGAGAAGATTGTAGACTAGCTTGAATTCCAAACCTCTTGCGACTCGAGGAGACATCTGAAATATCAGGCTGACTGTAAACAGTATAGAAACTACTACGAATGTGGGTATTGTCAACTAAAATCGAAAGACAGGAGCCCCTTAGCTATTCTTAAGCTGACAGAGCCTAGTCTGTAAGTAATTCATGTCAACCTCAAGAAAGCAAAGCACCTCAAGTAAGCACGTGTCGGTTATATATAACAATTTGTTGGCTTGACATGAGTTACTTAATTACCGACTTGGCTTGACATGACAGATCATCGCAGAGCCGTAAATGGTTAACCGCCAAATGATTAACTATATTTTGAATTTGCAAGCAAGCCTTCACTCATTACTGTCATTTGCATGGACCCTCACTCGCCCAACAAATTATTTGCGACAAAATATTGTTTTCTAATCTCATACTCGGAGATGATAGCAGTTCCTTTTTCTTAATCATTTCTTTATTTTTCTTTCTTTCTTTATTTTTTTAATTATTATTTTGTTAAATTAATTTTTTACAAAAACTATGTTATTATTATCATTTTTTTAAAATCAATATTTTTTTTTTCATGAAAGTTACTTTTATTTTTTCATGTTCCGGAATGTTCCATGTTCCGGGTTTTATCGACGCCCTTTTTTTTTGTGCTTTACATGAGACAAAACACATGAATAAACACTTTGCATGATTTTAGCCGCAATATTTACTTTTATTGTCGAAAGAAGTTGAAAAAAACATGAATTTTCACCCAAAATTGACTTAACCACCTGCTACTTTGACGTCATATCTCGTAACCATAGCGACTAACCATTACTAAACTCGTCTTAAAAATCTGCGTGAGGGATGAACGAACAGCTACTGAAAACGTCATGCACTGACATTTTATCCTGTAGGAAAAAACTCCGAAAAACGTTTTTGTGGGGGGGGGCATCCACCTTCCCCCCCTGTACGTCAGAGGTTTAAATTATCATTATAAGATTATTATAGACCTTTGTATTACTTGATCACGTGATCAACTTTATGTAAACAGGAAAATAGTGAGCTTTGGAAATCCTTTGTTAGCAGGAACTGAAAGAGCATATTAATATTAGGTAACCTGTAAATTTTTAGTCGTATATCTCAACGTCTATCTGGATTGCAACGGCCGCCGAAAATTAGAAGGATTTGTATGTGAAAAACAACCCCTGCCACCCTGTCACACTTGAGTGGTCTTCCATACAAATCCTTGTAAATTTCGAAATTTGCAAACTGTCATAAAATTTATTTTTAAGGCTTATGGGCACAAATCTCCTCTTTATTCCTAACGGGCTATTGAGCCGTTAAATGCGTAAGGGAAACATTTAACGACAGTTAAAAAAATTCAAAATTTACAAGAATTTGTATGGAAGTCTGAGCTTTTTACACCTAAGCAAATGAAAACAGAATTGCTCAAGAAGACAAAAAAGCGTGAGAAAAGTTTTCAACATGAGAATGATACTGATCACTGTATTCAGCCTGATGATTTCAACACAGTAGG